TTGTGTGATCTGTCTGGGCGGCAGGAGTAAATGGATCTCCGGTATGTCCTGAAGCTCTACTATAAGCTTTTAAGAGTGATAAGGCAATGACCCGCTGACATGGGCCTCTTAAATAAAGCCATCAGCTGTACTCTCCTGCCTCTGGATCTGTGGGGCAGCTTATTTCTACCCAACAATAACACTCAAACAAAAGCCAAGCCCCCGTCACACGGCTTCTCTATTCTTTACAACACATTTGGGCGAATGAGCAGCCTGGGGTGAAATGGCCAAGACGCAGATCACTGCTGCCCTAATGCACCGGCCCTTCATCATCAAAGCACTCTCTTCCTCTTCCTTCGCTTTAAGCACTGATCACACGAGTGCTGTGTTAGCTTCAGATGACCTGTCCGCATGACACAAATACCAATGAATGTCAAACCCACAAATATCTCTGTCAATAACAAATAACCCAGGCACAATCAACGGGACAGATATTAAACACAGCTCAGACACTCTTATTGGCAGCTGAAAGCACTATAGGACTGGGGAATCAGCGGGTTTTTTATTGCTGCCACACTACATTTGATTTTTATTTGCCCTGCCAACATTTCCACCTATCACACAAATATGTTATTTTATTTTTTAGCAACATAGTTTAAGTTTTTTTTATTAAACATTTTTTATAAATAATTTATAACAATCTTTTTTTTTCTCATAATAACAATTTTAATATTTAATATTTTTGAAAACTTTGTGACAGTTATAACAGCATAAACAATGGAATTAGATGATAAATGTATTATAAATGTGGAATTACATTATTACGTGTTACTCAGAAAACCAAAACATCTGAATTGATTTCTATAAGTACCATTTAGTGAAGCAAAATAAAAGAGTTTCTGGAAATCCATTAAATCATAGGTGTTCAACCCTAGGCATTAAATATTCAGCTATTTTAGAATAGTGAAATCATTTTACATATAGTAGCATGCATACATTTGGTTAGAAAATGATTATTTCTGACACATCACAATCTGGCTTTGATGTAGCGGTTTAGAGTTCTATATACATATTATCTTCTTAACGCAATCTGCAAACAGTGACATCATCACAGCATGGCACAAGCTGATTGGTCTCTGCTGATGCTACAGCCAATGAGCTTGCTGCTTAACTTTTAAATAGTTTGGCTTCAGCAAGTCTTGCAGCATGAAACTCTCAGAAGCCCTCTACCTCCCCCAGATCCACCTGTATAGATCTGTTACGGCTAATTTCAGCAGCAGCATGTCTTACATGTATGCACAGTTGTAGCAATACTACTACTATATGCAAAATGATTTCACTATTCTAAAATAGCTCATACAAAGTCAATATTTAATGGAATTCTGCTGGATGATTATGTTCATGTACTGTTTTTCAGGGTTATTCTCTTCTATTCTCTTATAGACGTCTTGCAATTGTTACTTTAAAGAGCTATTTCTACCTGATTTAACCTGTAAAAAGAGTTTTGCTGGTAAAATCAATGTATTTAGTGATGTTAAATAATATTTTTGACTGGTTATTTAAAATTTTTTTTTCCTGTGGATAAATGCAATCTATAACCCTGTCCCTCTCACCCACATGATGGAAAAGCAAAGACTGTAACCTTACTGGCAATCACTTTTGACACTTGGGTTAAAACGTGATTAATCAGTGGCGCGGTGTGGTTTTAGATGCAGGCCTGTATTGGTCAGACACCGAATTTTGCCCCCCGCCAGAACACTTCTGTTTCTGTCAGCTCTTATAAGTCTGATCTGAGAGAAAAACACTAGGAGCAATTCAATGGAAATTGGATTACGTCCATTTTGGAGATAAAATTCCATGCTTAAAAACAAAAAAGCACTCTCTTCCTCTTCCTTCGCTTTAAGCACTGATCACACGAGTGCTGTGTTAGCTTCAGATGACCTGTCCGCATGACACAAATACCAATGAATGTCAAACCCACAAATATCTCTGTCAATAACAAATAACCCAGGCACAATCAACGGGACAGATATTAAACACAGCTCAGACACTCTTATTGGCAGCTGAAAGCACTATAGGACTGGGGAATCAGCGGGTTTTTTATTGCTGCCACACTACATTTGATTTTTATTTGCCCTGCCAACATTTCCACCTATCACACAAATATGTTATTTTATTTTTTAGCAACATAGTTTAAGTTTTTTTTATTAAACATTTTTTATAAATAATTTATAACAATCTTTTTTTTTCTCATAATAACAATTTTAATATTTAATATTTTTGAAAACTTTGTGACAGTTATAACAGCATAAACAATGGAATTAGATGATAAATGTATTATAAATGTGGAATTACATTATTACGTGTTACTCAGAAAACCAAAACATCTGAATTGATTTCTATAAGTACCATTTAGTGAAGCAAAATAAAAGAGTTTCTGGAAATCCATTAAATCATAGGTGTTCAACCCTAGGCATTAAATATTCAGCTATTTTAGAATAGTGAAATCATTTTACATATAGTAGCATGCATACATTTGGTTAGAAAATGATTATTTCTGACACATCACAATCTGGCTTTGATGTAGCGGTTTAGAGTTCTATATACATATTATCTTCTTAACGCAATCTGCAAACAGTGACATCATCACAGCATGGCACAAGCTGATTGGTCTCTGCTGATGCTACAGCCAATGAGCTTGCTGCTTAACTTTTAAATAGTTTGGCTTCAGCAAGTCTTGCAGCATGAAACTCTCAGAAGCCCTCTACCTCCCCCAGATCCACCTGTATAGATCTGTTACGGCTAATTTCAGCAGCAGCATGTCTTACATGTATGCACAGTTGTAGCAATACTACTACTATATGCAAAATGATTTCACTATTCTAAAATAGCTCATACAAAGTCAATATTTAATGGAATTCTGCTGGATGATTATGTTCATGTACTGTTTTTCAGGGTTATTCTCTTCTATTCTCTTATAGACGTCTTGCAATTGTTACTTTAAAGAGCTATTTCTACCTGATTTAACCTGTAAAAAGAGTTTTGCTGGTAAAATCAATGTATTTAGTGATGTTAAATAATATTTTTGACTGGTTATTTAAATTTTTTTTTTCCAAATGCAATATGCAATCTATAACCCTGTCCCTCTCACCCACATGATGGAAAAGCAAAGACTGTAACCTTATCACTTTTGTTTTTGATGCAGGCCTGTATTGGTTCAGACACCAAATTTTGCCCCCTGCCAGAACACTTCTGTTTCTGTCAGCTCTTATGAGTCTGATCTGAGAGAAAAACACTAGGAGCAATTCAATGGAAATTGGATTACATCCATTTTGGAGATAAAATTCCATGCTTAAAAACAAAAATGTATTTTTGTTGCTAAACAACACATGACGTGGGCTATATCTAATCCGTTCTGGGAGTGCTCTGAGCTCAGGCAGACTGTTATCATTCGATTTCCTGCTGGAAAAACAATTAATGAAGAGCCAGAGGAGGAAATAATGTGCAATAACTCAGATGAGACATGGCCGAAGGTACTGTCATTACCACAACAGCACATTGACAATATATATATATATATATATATATATATATATGCACATCACTCCATGCAGAAAAAAAATCATCTAGCTGGACACAATGGCACTTAAAAATGTACAAGAAAACTACATGTCCAATATGCAATTATGATTATGAAAATCACAACTCCACAAATAATCACAAAATATATACGATGAAAAAAAAAACCCTCTGAAAACTCACAGTAACCCAGAAACAAAGAGTGTGACATAGCAGAGCTGAATATTCATACATTTAAAAAAACAAATCAAATTTATATTTACACAAAATATTCCATTCTGGGTTGTGATATTAAGGAACAAAAAATATAATGCTTGACCTCATAACACTAACTCCTTTGTGAGTACAATCCTGAAGCAGACATAGAAAACAAAACGGCTGCAGTTCCTTAGTACTACAGGGATGACTGCTGAACGATAAAAAATTGCTTGGTAGTTCAAAACTTAATTCAAAATTATTTAAAAAATATATAGAAATATTATTAGAAATGTGCTTACTAAATTAATCCTAACGATACAGTATGACAGGTGTGTCTCAACATTACATTACACTGTTGTCCTCTTCTCCAGTTTCAAACTGTTACTTTAGAGCCAAAGCAGCACAGCATCACAGATTAATGTCAAGCACTTCCAGCCTCCTGTTACTGTGGGTATGGATTATTCGTTCTTTATTTTATTAGCTGTGTTATGAAAGGCAGTGAAATGCTTTGTCTTCAAAGTTATCACTCTGTTTCTAGCAGGACTGAGCAGTACTATTGCCAGCTCTCTACCATCAATTTAAAAATAGAATTATTATAATTTTACCACTTCTGTATCAGCACATTACCGCAAATTGATATTTTTATAACTATACTTTTTGCATTACACTGGTGCTCTGCAGTCATTCAAGTCTTTTGTAAGCTGCAGACCTGCTGAAACAACATTTAGTTCCAGTTGTATGCATGTATATGGCTGAAATGTCAATAAACTTGACTCTTGAACTATGATCTAAAAGTGTTCTTGTGCAAAGCAGTGTCACATATTCAATTTCAAAATCTGCCAAATTAATATACACAAGTACATGCAATCCATTTCCAATTGAACGAAGGCAAAATGGCAACTATTTTTGAGAACAAATGCACAAAGCTTGCATTTATTGCACATTAAATTACATATAAAAATCACATACTGTGCCTTTTTCATAGAAGTATATTTCAGTATATTTTAGTGCATATAATTGAGGGAGATAAAGTGTTCATAAATGTGATGCATATGTAACTGATAATTGCATCTGAACAGAATAGGCAACTGTGAGTGGGATGGTCAAGCTTTGGCATGGCTTCTTTTGTCCATATTATCAGACACCGTCCCACTGCATATACTAACATTGCTTTTCTATAACTATGCTGAAGTTGTGCTGGAGAAATGTATGGTAAATGCATGCTTTAAATTCGAAGGGCTTACCTTTAAAAGCCAGTTTCAGACACTGCGTTTTACTTTCCTGAAACAAAAACAAAAACAATTTACAGTTAATTCTCAAAACTCTATTAAAAGTAGAGCAGAATCGCATAAAGATGTGAAAACATATCAACATATTGAGTAGAATGATTGCAGCAGCTTGACTTGCAATGCGTGTTGTGATTTTGAAACACTCTGAGCTGCGACAACACTGGAAGGCAATATTTTCATATTTTTTTTTAGTATTTGACAGAGGTGTGATTGACCTTGTGATCTGATTGAACAGTCAAACCATCACATGTATTGCAAAAGAATGCACAATGCTCCAATGAAAGGGCCTGAAGCAACACAAACGGCAGCTCAAGGACAGAACAGATCAAAGGACTGTGATTCTGTGTCAGTCCTGTCACACACTCTCAGTCACTGCGTGTGCTGATATGAGGGCTGTGTGTGTTCATTTGTCATCTGCTGACCTTCTCCACGCTGCTGACTGCCTGAAAGTAGATGTTGTAGTTTTTGCGGGGCGCGAGGGGGGCGTTCCAGTAGCCGTGGTACGTCTTGTTGTCTCCCACGGTAAACGGCAGCGGTTCTGGGAGATTCCTGGGCGGGAGCTCTGCCGCGAAGTAATACGGCAGCCCGGCGCTGGCCGCGTTCTGATAGGTCACCGGCTCACGGTAACACTCCCCGCCACCGGCCTCCCGTCGTGCACGGTGTGGGTTGATCTCCCTCACGACGATCTGATAGGCGCTGTTGATGACAGACACAACATGACTCGAGTCAGCACTGCTTTTACATTTACACCAAGAAGTAAATGTCTCTCACCTCTCACCTCTCTCTAACATAACCATGCCCAGAAAATCAAAATGCCATTATTGTCTTCACACAAAATAATCAATTTGGGATGATATTTTGCAATGTGAGCTGGGATATTCACCCTTAATCTATCTAAGCTCTTGTCAAAGGTGTTTCATTCATTCGGCTCTCTGTATGTGTGATTAATGGGCTTTAAATGGGCATTAATGGGTTTAAAAAAATGCACATTGAAATATGAAAATGATTTTTTTTAAATAAATGAAATGACACTCTAAATATGAAATCAAAACCACCAGTAAGTGGCGGCAAGTCACTGTCTTAATTAATGAGTCACTGAATCACTCATTTAACTAATTTGTTCAAACGGCTGATTCAAGTGACTGTCTTGAATAAGTGAATAAATGAGTCACTGAATCATTGACTCACTCTATTTGTATAAAAAGGTGGAGTCATTCAATAACAAAATCACTGGTGTCTCTTGCTTAGACACACAACAGTTCTGCTGTGACTTTGTTTGAAAATACTTTCGTTTGTGAAATTAGGCAAAAACGGGCAATATGACAATATTGTGTCACAAAATATTAACTTCTTGTTTATTGAACTTGTATAAAATCAGTATCACCTTTGCAAGATAAAAACCATTAAAAGGTCATTGTTGCCCTCATATCTTGAATTTTAGGCTCATATAACTGTATTCTAATAGGCTTCATCATGCAGTCGGTTGTTGTCCTGCATCATGTTCATCATCAATGTAAGATGACGGACAGGTCTGGACAGGGCGGATGCATTAAATGCCTTAATCATTTTAACACATTATTTTTTTTCCATAATTAATCACATTAAACGCATTAAATCGACATCCCTAATTTTTTTTTTTTTACATGAAAACATCTTGAAAAGACTGTAGAAGTCATTCTAATTAGGATATCTCTGGGAAAACTCTGTGCACTAATGGGCTCATGTGCGTCACATCGCTGTTTCCCTTCACTTTCCGAATGCAGTTTTTCTGCATTTTTCTTACTTCACCGAATTTAAACAATAAGTAAATAAGTCTCTCCTCCTCCTCCATCTATGTGAAGCTGCAGGAATGAGTCTGTCACAATGACAGCTAAATAGCTGAAAGACTGTTTTAAAGCCCAGATGTGACACAGAGCCTCAAACCAGTCAAACAGAGAGAGGATGAGGAGGAAGAGGAAGAGTCAGGCATGGCTCAGATCAAATAGGGATCTTTGTGCAAGTGTCGAAAGGAATATTGAACAGCTGAAAGAGACAAAGATGGAAGGAGAGACAGAGAGTGGGGGTTTATGAGCAGAGAAACACAGGAAGTTAATATGGGAGCGGTAATGTCACCAGCAGTGGCTCATTACAGCACAGAGAGGAAGTCTAATAACGTCTGGAGGATATGAGGAGACTGAGGAGGCACAAACACACACCTGATAGGAGCTCCTTTAGCCTGGGCAGGTTTCAGCAGGACGGTGATGGTAGTGGCCGTCTCGTTCAGGGACGCCTCCGACCCATCATACTCCTCTAGAGTAGGCGCTACACAGACAGAGCAAGAGTGAAAGAGTCACCATTTTTCCCTTAATGAAATCATGTGTTGAGGAAGCTTCCCTGAAACTGTACTTTGTCGAGATACGAGCTATTCACGATCAAAAGTAGTTGAGCTACAGTCTGCTAGCCTCCTGAAAAACAAGTCTGCACAAAAACAATGAGCATCTCATAATGCTTGACAGTATTAAACTTATAACACATACATTTACAGCATCTATACACTAAAATTAGCTAATTGAACACAAATGCAGTAATAGCAGTGTTTAGGACATGTTTAGCAGTTGCTAGGACATGAGTGACAACTTATTTTATATTAGTATTATTTATATACTATTATAGTGTTTATGAATATTTTAAATTAGCTTTTTTACGTGAGCAAATGCAAAAATTCAGTTTTCTGTCACCTTTTCCCATACCAACAGATACTCTCAGTCGTAGTAGATGAAATTCTCCTAGCATAATGTAGGCGACTATATATATATATGGGTAATTCTTTAGAATAGGGAACACGTATAAGAGTTTTCCCTGAACAAACTCCTAATGTGCTGCTTATTAATAGTTAGTAAGTTAGTTGTTAAGTTTAGGTATGGGGTCAGATTAAGCAATCTAAAATATGGTCATGCAGAATAA